TGCACAGGCTTCTCATTGAGGTGGCTTCTCTTGTTGCGGAGCATGGGCTCTAGGTGCGTGGGCTTCAGTAGTTGTGGCGCACGGGCTTAGTTGCTCCGTGGCATGTGGGATCTTCCCGGACCAGGGCTCGAATCTGTGTCCCCGGCCTTGGCAGGCGGATTCTTAACCACTGCGCCACCAGGGAAGTCCCAGCAGTATGAGAACTTTAGAGAATGGTGTGTGAAGCATGGGGAAGCTGGCAGCCTCCCCTTATTTCCTACTGGAAGCAGTGACATGGGGGGCGGGGTAGGAGGAACAGACTCATATTTAAGGTGCAGCAAAACTTAGATGGAAGACGTTCTTTGGCCTGAATGAAGAGGGGTAATGGGGAACAACTGGAGAGTTTTAAGCAGGGAAATATGCCCGATTTGCATTTTTTAAAGAATCTCACATCACTACCTGGAGAATATATCCAATATTTTGTAATAATTGTAAATGGAGTGTATCCTTTAAAAATTGTGTAGAAAATAAAGCACATTTTATTTTAATGATATAAAAAGAAGACTGTCGCATCACTGTGGAGATTAGGTTGGGGTAAACCCAAAGATCAGTTAGGAGGCTGTTGCAGCGATCCACGTGAGGGATGGGGGTAAACTACAACAGTGGCACTGGAGATGAAGCTAAATAGACTGATCTGAGGGAGATTTAGGTGGTATAATTGGCAGAACCTGGCAGCAGATTGGATGAGGAGGGCAAGGGAGAGGAATACATCAACATAGCTCTTGAGTGACTAGGAGAGTGGTAACAGTCACTGAAATAGGACCCACATAGGGAGAGGAGCAGGGGTGAGGGATTGATGAATTCAGTTTGGGACTTATGGATTTGAAGAGTGTGTGAAGCCTACCAAGGAAGACGTCTGTGGTCATTTAATCATATTCTCAGCCTGGGAGGGAGGCCCAGGCTGAAAATATGGATTTGGGAGTCATAAAGCCTACAAATGTAATATGAACTCTTGAAAGTGGTACGTTTCTCCCCTTTTCCCAGTTTTCTTTCTTTAATTCTTTTTAAAACTGTACTTATTAGGTTTTAGGGGTTTTTTTTTCAATCATCATCAAATCTTATTTTGAAGAAAAGTTGAGATTAAAATAAATATGTGGCTGTCGTCTCTTGATTAAACATGGCTACCCCCCTGTATTTCCCCCTACCTCTCAAAACCTTGCTGACTTAACACTAAAGAAATATAAAAGGTATTAAGTTACAAAAGCTCAGAGAAGGAAGCAACAGCAGATGAAAGTCAACAGATATATGGAAGTAGAAGGCAGGTGGGGGAGTGTTACCTGGCCTGAAACATCCTAAGAAGTTCCAAACCAGCTGCCAACCAGGGGAGATTACCAACAAGAAGCAAATCAGTTCACCCAGTTTAATTTCCAAGACGCTTAATGCCTTGGAAGCACGAGTTACTCCAGAAGGTCAGCAATGAGGTACAGGGCTAAACATGGGGGCTTGGCTGGAGTCTGTGTGCAGAGCACTTTGCTGCAGCCCCAGAGCTCCGCTCTCAAAAGCCAAACGACTGCTCTAAACTCTCTTGCTGCATAAGGAGGAACTCTGGAGGCCTCCATACTCAGGGACTTCAGGCAGGGTTTGAAGGGCAGGGTGGAAAACTGAGGGATGGAGGGAAGATTTACACACTACATGGTGGCAGCCCTAGTCCTTCCCCCACCCCAACCCCAGGATGCCAGCAGCCAGGCACTTAGCACCCCTACCCTCTCATCCTCCCTGGGAAAGTAGAAGACTCTTCTCCAGAGGCCCTGAGAACCCCAGGTGGGGAAAAAAGAAGAAAAAAACCCTCCACTGACTGACATTTGTGAGTTTCTCAATGAAAAGTCTAGTTGTTGCCTGTTAAAGAAATTTTCAAAAACTGAAGGACACAGGATGGAAGGCTTAGTATAATAACTGAAAAAGACCTGCACCAAGGCATATCATCATACAATTTCAGAAAAGGTTTTCAAAGCATCAAGAGTGAAAAAAACAAGCCACAGACAAAGGCACAGAAATCAGAATGATGTCAGATTTCTCAAAAGCAACCCTGGGATGCTCAATCAAGGGGGAAGCTTGTTCTAACCTGGAATTACACACCCAACCAATCTGACATGAGGTCAGAATACTTTCAGATTTTCAAGGACACAGAAAAAAATTCATTTCTTAGGAAGCTACTGGAGAATGTGACTCAACAAAATGAGAGAGTAAACCAAGGAGGACGAGGTGGATCCAGGAAACAGGGCAATAGCGAAGACAGGCAAAAGGAAATCCCAGGACTACATTTGTACGCCAAGCTTAGCAAGCAGCCAGTCCAAACTGGAGCAGAAAGACAGAGGTCCTTGGGACAGAGTTCTCCAGGGAGAAGATGGGACTGATCAGTTAGGGGTTGAACATTCAGAAAGATCATTGCTATGTGTTTGGAATATTTGGAAGAAAACAGCTCTAGTACTTAGAAAATTAAACAGTTTAAAAAAGAAACAATTATTAACTCCAGGTAAAACCAACTTGTAAGAGAAGGAAAATGTAATAGTAGTTTACAGCTTGAATGAACAGTGTTACTTGGTCAATAATGTAAACACTAACTATTGATTTAACTATAAATTGTGGAAAACTATATTGTGAGAATGAGGAGAGAAAAATGGGGGTTAGAGGGTGCAAGAGAGCTAATTCCTCAGAATTAGAAATAAATAGTGCCTAAAATTGACGAATCAAATAATAGTAATGTATTAGTTTGCTAGGGCTGCCATGACAAAGTGGCACAGACCAGATGGCTTAAACAACAGAAATTTATTATCTCACAGTTCTGTACCTCTGATAAAGGTGTCCAAGATCAAGGTGTCAGAGGAATGGTTTCTTCTGAGGCCTCTGTCCTTTGCTTGCAGATGGCTGCCTTCTGGTGTCTTCAGATGGCCTTCCCTCTTTATGTGTCTGTGTCCTAATCTCCATTTATAAGGATACCAGTTATGTTGGATTAGGGCCCACCCTGATGACTTCATTTTAACTTAATTACCTCTTTAAAGACCCTATCTCTAAATAGAGTCACATTCTGAGGCACTGGGGATTAGGGCTTGAACATATGGATTTGTTGAATTCAGCCCACAGCAAGTAGTATAAACTCATTATTTGGACAAATAGAACACCAGAAGAGATAGCCAAAAGAGTTGAAAGTGGTTGCCTCTGGAGTGAGACTGGAGGATGGAAAAGGGGGAGGCAGGTACTATTACTCTTTTACTTTGTCAGGTGGGCAGTGGGGCCTTGAACCCAGTCTGACTCTAAATCTCATGTTCTTCCCCACTACTATGAGATTTGGAGCTCCACCAGGCCAGGGCAGTGCGGTACGCCTCTTCACACTTCCCTCAGCACCTTGCACAGTGCTTTACTAAATATGTATGACTTACAGCTGTATCACTATGACTTTAAAGCTGCCGTTTGTCAGTTTTCTTTTCCTGTTTAAAAAAAAAAAAAGCTGATGGGGAAGACAGATCCAAGGAAACCTCGAGGGGCCATAATATGGAGCATCCAGCTGAAAGTTTCCCACCCTTGGTGTTCTAGAATCGTTGGGTGCATCTCTGGTAGCACTTTGAGTTTTGATCCTAGAAACGGTCCATCCACGGCAGGGGAGGGGCACAGGCTGCTTTCCTGCTGTTGGTGGTGTATCAACCCCTCCTTCCTGGGGTCTAGAATAGCCACTCATCCCCATTTTCTTGAGTCCAGTTTGGCTGTTAAAGGTGGCCGTGGCCTCTGTAAGTTATTCTCAGACTTAGGGCTGTAATGTCATTCACAAGGATTGATGCCTGATCCCATGAGGGGTCTTGGTCATTTTTGTGTTTCGGTTGATCCACAGTTATTCACCTGGCTGTTAAGGCTGACAGGACATTGTAGCTGGCTCTATCCCTGAGGCTACGTGGACGCCCTTCCTGGGAGCACATACCCGGTGTCCTCCAGGGAGCAGTGGAGGTTGGTGTGTATGTCTGTCTGTCTTAGCATGCCTCAATTGCTTCCTGATAAAATTCTGAGAGTTGGGCCCCATCAATATCTCAAATACATGTGAGGAAACGTTAACTTAGAATCAATTTTAAGATGTTTCAGGCTGTAAAGTCCTTTTAACTATGTCTGTGGCAAAGATGTAGAAGCACTTTATGGGACTGTAAATTTCACATTGAACAGTCTTCTTGAAATACGCATCTCCCCTACACACAAGCTGTTTTCTCCATATCAATCGTAGCCCTGCAAGTAATGTTTCACAAATATTCTGTAAAGCACAGAAAACCCCATGATAATGTGAAGTATGACTTTCACTTGTCTGTTAGACAAAAGAATCACACATGCCTCTCTCCCATCAGCACTAACATTTGTTATGGATAATAACACTTTCAATCACAACTATTTTTGGAAAGCGGGTTTATTTTAAACCTTCCCTCCCCCACTGAAAACACTCTCCCAAGGACACAGACTCCTACAAACCACAGCCCATTAATCTAACTATGGAACTAGAACTTTTCCTTCCCACTAACTTTGTTTAAAAGTTGTTTTTAAGAGAGAGAGTCTAAAGGCCACAGGTACAAGATTAAGGAGAATTTTACCTTTTTGGCTGATTGGCGTAAGAGGGGCCTGGGTCTCTAAAGGCTCAGTCTCTGATGTTGTATTAGGTGAGGGCTGAGAGAGGCCATGGTTTTAGGCAGCATCTGCATATCACCTGGAGCCTGTGGTCCTTTTAGTTGCGGGCACCAGCAGAGAAGCCAAAGAGCTAAAGATTTATATTGTATATTCTTAATTCCATGACAACACAGCTGGATTCTCCCTGTTCAAGTAGCAGGTGACCAGTCCTAGAGGTGTATTTTGAACGTCACTACATCCATGAGGGTGACAGAGGCTCACCCTGCCTCCAGATGATTGCTGGAAAAGCAAAACTCACAGAGTAACTACAGGCCTTGCATGGTTCTGAATACTTTGGTAACTTGTCTGTTTTCCCTCCTCTGTAGCCAACTTGAGGACCCACTGATCATGACTTCTATAAAGGAGCAGGCAGCAATTAGCCGGCTCTTGAGTTTTTTACAGGATTGGGACAATGCTGGCAAAGTCGCAAGGAGTCACATCCTCAACAATTTCATTGAAACCAACCAAGGCAAGACTGCCCCTGAGCTGGAACAGGAGTTTTCCCAGGGAGCCAGCTTGTTCCTGGTCCGCTTGACCACCTGGCTTAGACTCACGTATCCTTTGCTGAACAGGAAAACAAATAGGCAATCTTCAAAAGAGAAAAGGAGCAAAGATAGTCGAGGGAGCTCTTCTCCTGATTCTCTCTCAGATTTTAGAACAGGACATCTAGTGATCAAAATACCATCCCAGAAGTCAAGAACTCCCTCAACATCCTGTCTTCCCAATCTATAAATATATCCTCATTCTCACTGCTAACCTCTCTTGCTCCCATCAGAGTTGAAGTGGGTGTTCCTTGTCTAGGACTAATACTCTGTGTTGTGCTCGAATCCCTTCCCATCTCCCCAAGGACTTTATTTGTTCTCTCCTATAGCCTTCACTTTTGCCTCATTACCAGCTTTTTCATCAGCATTTATGTATGCTCAAATCTCTTCCACCTTAAGATTTTAATTCAATCCTTGTCTGGAACCTATATTCCACCTTGCTTCTGCCCTTCGTGCTGAAGCCTGTTGAAAAGGCTGTTGACCTTCCCCGCCTCCCTTTCTCCTACACCCACTGCAGCCTGACTTCTGTCCCCTCCACTCCATGACGCAGGTCTTGTCAAGGTTACCAGTGCTTTTCTAATTGTGAAACCCAGTGACCACATCCTCAGACCTTATACAGGACCTCTCAGTGGCATTTGTCAGCCGACCATTCCCACTTCTCAAAACATTCTTCCCTGAAACTAATGTAATGTTTATGTCAATTTTACCTCAATAAAAAGAGAGAGAAGGAAAGCAAAAAGAAGCACATATAGACAATATCACCACACACACACACACACACACACACACTCACACACTCACACACACACACACACACACTGTCACACACTTCCTGTGGTTTCTAATACCAGTTCTCTTGGTTTTCTCCTTTCCTTCTGTCCATCCTCCTCTTCAGCCATGCCTTAAATGTTGGTGTTTGCCGGCCTCCAGCCACAGCCCTCTTTTCTGCTTTCTCTCAGCTTTTCCCTAAGTGATCTAGCTACTGTCAAGATGTCAACACCACTCCCGTTTGAGGACTCTCAGCTGTGTACCCCACCCACATTTCTCTGGAATCTGAGTTCCATACCTGTTAACCCAGCTGCCACCTCCACTTGTCTCCCACAGACTCTCACATTTCTGGCTTGGGAAACTAGGCGAATGGGACATCATTACGTGGGAAGAGAATACAAGGAAAGGAGTGAGTCTGGGGGTAGATAAGTTTGATTTGGGACATGTTGTGTTTGAGGTGCCTGTGCTCAGGAGCCCCAGAAGCAGACTTGGGGCTGAAGACAGATTTGGTCCCCATGATGGTGATAATTTGAGTCGTGGGTGGATTTCAGGATATTCCTTCTCCGTATGCCTGTAGCACTCCATGTATTCATCTCAGACCCTTTTCTTATGTATTTTTCTCATTGCCTGAATCCTCTCCCCTCCCCTAAACCTCCTCTTTATTTAACTAATTTCTACTCCATTATTCAGGTCTCAATCCAAGCATCACTTTCTCAGGAAGCCCTTTTCAGAGCCCCAGACTAGCTTAGGTTCCCCTGTTAAATATACTCATGGCACTTCCTCTATTTTAATAGTCATAACATCTTGTTATTACCTGCTTAATATCTCTCTTCCCCCACTGGATTGTAAGCTCTACAAGGGCAGGAATTACATCTGTTCTACTCCTCTCTGTATTTCTAACACCTAACACGTGCCTGGCACATAATGGGTACTTAATACATGTTTGTTGAACAACGGAATGAATGAACCAGAGACTCTGAAGCTAAGCAGAACTAAAGGCTTAGGTAAACACAGCTATCTCTTCTTATAGTTAATCATTGATAAAATTATTAATTAGACTCAGGCCTTGAACACAGTCCGGCGGGAATCCACTGAATACATCTCTAGGTTAACCCCAATATTCTCAAGACATTAGTGTGCATAAAAGAGGTTTAAAATGCAGATAACCGGGCTTCCCTGGTGGCGCAGTGCTTGAGAGTCCGCCTGCCGATGCAGGAGACGCGGGTTCGTGCCCCGTTTCGGGAGGATCCCACATGCCGCGGAGCGGCTGGGCCCGTGAGCCATGGCCGCTGAGCCTGCGCGTCCGGAGCCTGTGCTCCGCAAATGGGAGAGGCCACGACAGTGAGAGGCCCGCATAACGCAAGAAAAAAAAAAAATGCAGATAACCAGTCTGCCTCCCCACCCCACCACCAGGTTTTGGTTTAGTAGAGTAAGGGTGGGTCCCTGGACTCTTTATTTTTCTTTTCTTTTTTTTAATTAATTAATTTATTTTATTGTTTTTTTTATTGGAATAAAATTGCTTTACAGTGTTGTGTTAGTTTCTGCTGTACAATGAAATGAATCAGCTATATGTATAGCTATATCCCCTCCCTCTTGAACCTCCCTCCCAAGCCCCCCCATCCCACCCATTTATGTCATCACAGAGCACTGAGCTGAGCTCCCTGTGCTGTACAGCAGGTTCCCACTAGCTATCTGGGTTTTTTGTTTGTTTGTTTTGTTTTGGCTGCATTAGGTCTTGGTTGCTGCGCACGGGCTTTCTCTAGTTGTGGCGAGTGGGGCTACTCTTCATTGCGGTGCGCAAACTTCTCTTTGCGGTGGCTTCTGCTGCGGAGCACGGGCTCTAGGCGTGTGGGCTCAGTAGTTGTGACACGCAGGCTCAGTAGTTGTGGCTCGTAGGCTCTAGAGCGCAGGCTCAGTAATTGTGGCACACTGGCTTTGTTGCTCCGCAGCATGAGGGATTTTCCTGGACCAGGGCTTGAACCCATGTCCCATGCATTGGCAGGCGGATTCTTAACCGTTGTGCCAACAGGGAAGCCCTAGCTATCTGTTTTACACATGGTAGTGTATTTATGTCAAACCTAATCTCCCAATTCTTCCCACCCTACCCTCCCCGCTCTGTGTCCTCATATCCGTTCTCTATATCTATGTCTCTCTTCCTGCCCTACAAATAGGTTCATCTGTACCATTTTTCTAGGTTCCACATATATGCATTAATATACGGTATTTGTTTCTCTCTTTCTGACTTACTTCACTCTGTATGACAGACTCTAGGTCCGTCCACATCTCTACAAATGACCCAATCTTGTTCCTTTTTAATGGCTGAGTAATATTCCATTGTATATATGTACCACATCTTCTTTATCCATTCATCTATCATTGGACATTTAGATTGTTTCCATGTCCTGGCTATTGTAAATAGTGCTGCGATGAACATTGGGGTACCTGTGTCCTTTTGAATTATGGTTTTCTCAGGGTATATATACGCCCAGTAGTGGGATTGCTGGGTCATATGGTAGTTCTGTTTTTAGTTTTATAAGGAACCTCCATACTGTTCTCCATAGTGGCTGTATCAGTTTATATTCCCACCAACAGTGCAAGTGGGTTCCCTTTTCTCCACACTCTCTCCAGCATTTGTTGTCTGTAGATTTTTGATGATGGCCATTCTGACCAGTGTGAGGTGATACCTCATTGTAGTTTTGATTTGCATTTCTCTAATAATTAGTGATGTTGAGCATCTTTTCATGTGCCTCTTGGCCATCTGTATGTCAGGACTCTTTAGTTTTCAAAAGAGCCCTGGGTTGACTCTGATGCCAGTGGTCCACAAGTGGTGCTTTGAAAAACATCAGGATCTACAATCTGGCGTTGTCCCCATAACTCATGACACTAACCTCACCAAAATGTTGTCACTAACTTGACATTTTCCACTCGACCAAAGGGTGACGTGAGTGAGGCAGTGTCAGATCCTAGCTTTATTTAAAACTTTGATATTTTATTCATTGTGTATTTTTATATTATTTTTCTTTTTTTAATAATGCAGGAAATATTATTTAGTAACTGAGATTTTGATGCCCCCTTAAATTTCATACCTGAGGGAATTCCCTGACAGTCCAGTGGTTAGGACTCCTCGCTTTCACTGCCAAGGGCCCGGGGTCAATCCCAGGTCAGGGAACTAAGATCCCACAAGCCACGCGGCCAAAAAAAAAAAAAAAATTAATACCTGAAGCAAGTGAGTCACTCGCCTCACACCCTAGTCCCAGCCCTGCTTGACCACTGCCCTTTCTAAAGCTCTCCTCTCTGGACTTCCCTGGTGGTCCATTGGTTGAGACTCCACACTCCCAAAGCAGGAGGCCCAGGTCTGATCCCTGGTCTGGGAACTAGATCATGTATCCATGCTGCAACTAAGAGTCTGCCTGCCACAACCAAGAAGTCCACACGCTGCAACTAAAAAGATCCCCCATGCAGCAACTAAAGATCCCGCATGCTGCAACGAACATCCCATGTGCCACAACTAAGACCCGGTGCAGCCAAAAAACTAAATAAATAAAAAAATTTTTTTTTAAAAAGTAAAAAAGAAATCTCTCCTCTTCTCTCCCTTCTCCCATCACCGTTTCTCAGTCACTGTTGCAGGGTCTTTCCTACCACCCTTTAAATATTAGTGTTTCTAAGATTTCTGTGTTCAGCCCTCTTCTTTTTTTAATTTAATTTTATTTATTTATTTATTTATTTTGGGCCGCATTGGGTCTTCGTTGCTGCGCGCGGGCTTTCTCTAGTTGCAGAGAGCTGGGGCTACTCTTCGTTGCGGTGTGAGAGCTTCTCATTGCGGTGGCTTCGCTTGTTGCGGAGCACAGGTTCTAGGGCACGAGGGCTCAGTAGTTGTGGCGCACGGGTTTAGTTGCTACGCGGCATGTGGGATCTTCCCAGACCAGGGCTCGAACCCGTGCCCCCTGCATTGGCAGGCGGATTCGTAACCACTGCACCACCAGGGAAGCCCAAGCCCTCTTCTTTTCTTACTCAATCATTGCACTTGTTAACCGAGGCATTATATCATTCTTCTCCGTGTCCTAAGTGCTAATCAGAGCACCCAACATTTAGTGGACACTCAGCCAACGTTTATTAAATGAACCACGCTTTTTTTTTTTTTTTGGCCACCCTGCG